TTTTTTCATAAAAAATCAAGTTTGAAAAAAAAATCATTTGTCTCGCTAACTTGACATCAAGTTAGCGAGACATTATCACTAAAAATGTCGGTAGTGAAAAATTGAATGAATGGAAATTTGCCGTTTTTTTGCCGCTAATTAGTTGTGAAAACCAAAAATTTGCCGCTTTTTTTTTTTACAAAAAAATCAAGTTTGAAAAAAAAATGTGTTTCGCTAACTTGACGTCAAATTAGCGAGACAACATCACTAAATATATCAGCAGTAAAAAATTAGGTAGGAGAAAATTTGCCGTTTTTTTTGCCGCTAATTAGTTGTGAAAACCAAAAATTTGCCGGTTCTTTTTTTTCTCATAAAAAATCAAGTTTGAAAAAAAAAATCATTTGTCTCGCTAACTTGACATCAAGTTAGCGAGACATTATCACTAAAAATGTCGGTAGTGAAAAATTGAGTGAATGGAAATTTGCCGTTTTTTTGCCGCTAATTAGTTGTGAAAACCAAAAATTTGCCGCTTTTTTTTTTTACAAAAAAATCAAGTTTGAAAAAAAAATGTGTTTCGCTAACTTGACGTCAAATTAGCGAGACAACATCACTAAATATATCAGCAGTAAAAAATTAGGTAGGAGAAAATTTGCCGTTTTTTTGCCGCTAATTAGTTGTGAAAACCAAAAATTTGCCGGTTCTTTTTTTTCTCATAAAAAATCAAGTTTGAAAAAAAAAATCATTTGTCTCGCTAACTTGACATCAAGTTAGCGAGACATTATCACTAAAAATGTCGGTAGTGAAAAATTGAGTGAATGGAAATTTGCCGTTTTTTTGCCGCTAATTAGTTGTGAAAACCAAAAATTTGCCGCTTTTTTTTTTACAAAAAAATCAAGTTTGAAAAAAAAAAAAAATGTGTTTCGCTAACTTGACGTCAAGTTAGCGAGACAACATCACTAAATATGTCAGCAGTAAAAAATTAGGTAGTTGAAAATTTGCCGTTTTTTTGCCGCTAATTAGTTGTGAAAACCAAAAATTTGCCGCTTTTTTTTTTACAAAAAAACCAAGTTTGAAAAAAAAAAAAAAATGTGTTTCGCTAACTTGACGTCAAGTTAGCGAGCAAATGATTTTTTTTTCAAACTTGATTTTTTTGTAAAAAAAAAAGCGGCAAATTTTTGGTTTTCACAACTAATTAGCGGCAAAAAAACGGCAAATTTTCTCCTACCTAATTTTTTACTGCTGATATATTTAGTGATGTTGTCTCGCTAACTTGACGTCAAGTTAGCGAAACACATTTTTTTTTTCAAACTTAATTTTTTTGTAAAAAAAAAAGCGGCAAATTTTTGGTTTTCACAACTAATTAGCGGCAAAAAAACGGCAAATTTCCATTCATTCAATTTTTCACTACCGACATTTTTAGTGCTAATGGCTCGCTAACTTGATGTCAAGTTAGCGAGCAAATGATTTTTTTTTCAAACTTGATTTTTTTGTAAAAAAAAAAGCGGCAAATTTTTGGTTTTCACAACTAATTAGCGGCAAAAAAACGGCAAATTTCCATTCATTCAATTTCTCACTACCGACATTTTTAGTGATAATGTCTCGCTAACTTGATGTCAAGTTAGCGAGACAAATGATTTTTTTTTCAAACTTGATTTTTTATGAAAAAAAAAGAACCGGCAAATTTTTGGTTTTCACAACTAATTAGCGGCAAAAAAACGGCAAATTTCCATTCATTCAATTTTTCACTACCGTCATTTTTAGTGATAATGTCTCGCTAACTTGATGTCAAGTTAGCGAGACAAATGATTTTTTTTTTCAAACTTTATTTTTTATGAAAAAAAAAAAGAACTGGCAAATTTTTGGTTTTCACAACTAATTAGCGGCAAAAAAACGGCAAATTTTCTCCTACCTAATTTTTTACTGCTGATATATTTAGTGATGTTGTCTCGCTAACTTGACGTCAAGTTAGCGAGACAAATGATTTTTTTTTCAAACTTGATTTTTTTGTAAAAAAAAAAGCGGCAAATTTTTGGTTTTCACAACTAATTAGCGGCAAAAAAACGGCAAATTTCCATTCATTCAATTTCTCACTACCGACATTTTTAGTGATAATGTCTCGCTAACTTGATGTCAAGTTAGCGAGACAAATGATTTTTTTTTCAAACTTGATTTTTTATGAAAAAAAAAGAACCGGCAAATTTTTGGTTTTCACAACTAATTAGCGGCAAAAAAACGGCAAATTTCCATTCATTCAATTTTTCACTACCGTCATTTTTTAGTGATAATGTCTCGCTAACTTGATGTCAAGTTAGCGAGACAAATGATTTTTTTTTTCAAACTTTATTTTTTATGAAAAAAAAAAAGAACTGGCAAATTTTTGGTTTTCACAACTAATTAGCGGCAAAAAAACGGCAAATTTTCTCCTACCTAATTTTTTACTGCTGATATATTTAGTGATGTTGTCTCGCTAACTTGACGTCAAGTTAGCGAGACAAATGATTTTTTTTTTCAAACTTGATTTTTTTGTAAAAAAAAAAAGCGGCAAATTTTTGGTTTTCACAACTAATTAGCGGCAAAAAAACGGCAAATTTCCATTCATTCAATTTTTCACTACCGACATTTTTAGTGATATTGTCTCGCTAACTTGATGTCAAGTTAGCGAGACAAATGATTTTTTTTTTCAAACTTGATTTTTTATGAAAAAAAAAAGAACCGGCAAATTTTTGGTATTCACAACTAATTAGCGGCAAAAAAAACGGCAAATTTTCACCTACCTAATTTTTTACTGCCGACATATTTAGTGATGTTGTCTCGCTATCTTGACGTCAAGTTAGCAAAACACGTAATTAAGAAAAAACCAAAAGAGCGGCAAATTTTTTAATTCCACATTTAATTAGCGGCAAAAAAGCGGCAAATTCTTGGCATAATGGAAAATCGATTTTTCGAAGTTGTCTCGCTAAGTTGATAGACATTGAAAAGGGCATTCGAGACTATTGATAGAGAAATATTATTGTCGAAGTTGCAGAAATATGGAATTGGTGGTAGTGTGCTTGACTGGTTTGTTGACTATCTGCGGGATCGTGGACAGAGGGTGAGATTTGGTGGATCACTTTCTAAAGAGATGGTGAATGAAGTCGGTGTTCTTCAGGGCTCGGTCCTGGGCCCCCTTCTTTTTATTTTGTATTTTAACGACATTGAGCTATTTATTGATTGTGATTTTATTAACCTCTTTGCCGACGATACTTTCCTGGCTTGCAGTGATACAGATCTTAACAGGGCTGTGGATAAAATGAATGCTATTCTAAAGAATACTTCAAAGTATTTGGTAGCAAATAAACTAAAGTTGAATGTCATGAAAACTAAAGCTATGATTTTTACAAACAAATTCAAGTATAAGAAGTATGTAGAAACTAGAAATGATATAATGTTGAGGGTGGATGGTGACTTAATTGAGATTGTATCTAATATTAAATATCTTGGGTTTCAAATGGATAGTTTGTTGAATTTTGATAAGCACTTTGAATATATGAGCAAAAAAATATCAAAAAAAACTGTATTTTTTTAGTAGAATTGCAAACAACTTAACTATTCAAACTAAGATTTTTGTTTATAATTCAATAATACAACCACATTTTGATTATTGTTCTTCAATACTGTACATGTTTAACCTAAATAAACTAAATAGTTTACAAAAGCTTCAGAATCGTGGCATGCGGATTATATTGAAAGCAAGCCGTCTTACACCAATATCGGACATGTTACAAACATTGGGTTGGTTTTCTGTTGAACGTAGAATTCACTTTTCTACCATGGTATTTATTTATAAGATCTTGAACGGGTTGGCACCGGAATATTTCAACCAATATATAGTTTATAATAGAGACATTCATGAATACTCAACAAGAAATATTAATAACCTGCATATCTCAAGAACCAATTATAGGAGTACAATGAATTGTCTCTTTTTTAAGGGATTCCAAGAATTTAATAGGCTTTCAAATAATGTAAAGGAATCTAATTCATTAGGGGTTTTCAGACAGAGATTAAGAATATTTGTATTGAATCAATAATGTTCAATGTTAGGCAATATGTTTTAGAGAACATAAGTTAAATTTGGGTTGGGTATGTTATAAGTACTGGTTTTGGTGAATATCTCGGTGAATATATGGAATTTATGGAATTTTGGTGTTTTGTGTAGGAGTGGAAATAATGTTTTAGTGAATGCTCTTGTACTTTTGCTAGTTAAGGGACAAATTTATATTGTATTTTTTTTTTTTTTTTTGTATATTAGGTTAACCTATTTAAATAAAGATATTTTCATCATTTTTCAAATGATGTCGCAAATATCTACAAAGAATAGGTAATATTCAAGATAAGTCTGTTTCTGCAGAAATTACAAATTAGTCAGAGCAAATTTCATTGGTTGAAAACAGTCAGAAAACTAGTATCAACCTTTAGTTCTTTTCACGTGGCTCCGGTTCAACTAACCGGGTTACAAAATGGTTAGAGAAATGACATACCCTCGACATACCGTTTTCTAACCCGGTAACAAAGTGACGTGATGGATACCTACCACTCGAATTTGAGCGGTATGTTGCGGTTTGTTAAACCGGAGCCACGTGAAAAGGGTTAATGAAATTCACTCTGACTGGTTTGTGATTTCTGCAGAAACAGACTTATCTCGAATATTATTCTTTGTAGATACTTGCGACGATACTCCTTAATTAGACAGAATTAGAAATAAACATCTATTTTCGGATCTTCAATCCGAATTTTCGGACCCCTCTATCCACTGCCTTTTTTAAATGGACCTTTAGAGGTGGTTATGGGGTAGTTTGCCCTCATCCTATATATATTTCCAATCCCCTAATAAACTCTTTTTGAGCAATGGTATTTGATACACACAGAAAGTCACAGCTCCTTTTTATGGGAAAGAAATTCATATCTACTACTATTTGAAAAATTGGATTGTATCTACTAATCATCTACTAATCTACTACAATCTACACCTTCCAGCTAACCTCACTTTTTCAGTTTATCACTTTAACTAAATTCCGTCAAAATACTCTCTTTTAGCTACAAATGTTAAGTTTATCTACCGTCCACAGTTTACTTTGGTGATATTTTTGTATTATGGAGAAAGGAAAATAATTAATTCATTTATCACATCACCAAAACAGAAAAAAAAAAAAAACAAAACAATTCATGACATTTTTATCAGCTTTCTGACAACTGACACGTGACATGCCAATAGTAGTTTACTTCACAAGTGCGTTCGTTCGAAAATTCGAAATCAGTGAGCGGTCACGCCGAGTGCACACCAGCCGTTCGAAAATGAATTGGTAAATTTTATCTTGCGTTCGGTATTTTGCTCGAAGAGCAGAGCGTGCTGAGCGGAACCGTAATCACGTGACCAGCGAGGGAACAGAGTAGTTGAACGCTATATAAAAGTGCCAGAAATTTTAATAAACGAACGCGAATGAGGCTGCACCGAGTACACTTTTTGAATAAACGAACGGTAAAGTCATGCTCGGAGAACTCAGACCAAAATAACGAACGCACGGTTAGTATTGTAAAGTCTGTTTTTTTTTTAACGATAATTCCCCAAATCAAAAATTTAGTAACTATGTTGGCAACACAAGCCTTTTCTACATAAAAAATTTGAGGCATTGACAATTTTACATTGTATTGCCAACATAATGTCATTTTGACTTTTATCTTTAAAAAAAAAAAACAGTTTATTAGTTACTAAATTTTTGACTTGGGGAATTATCTTTAAAAAAAAACAGACTTTATAAACTCCGGTTGACTTTCACGCTAGTTCAAAAATATCCGGGGTGCTACGCTTACCCAGTGTGCACTTTTTCTTAACCAATTCTACCGCTGGGTAAGTTTTACTCCTGTGATTCTTGTTAGTTTTTCATTATTTAAATCTACTACTTTTAGTCAGATTTATTTGTTCCATTTTCCGTTTCTCGTAAATTGTTGATATTTTTTTTTCAATAGGCACAAACAATAATAAATGGAATGCACAGAACACTAGCTGGGCCTAATAGTTATTTATGCACCTAGGTCAAAAAGTACAGCTTTAACGCCCGCAGCGTGTGTAACAGCCTGAGGCGTTAGCCGAGGGCTGTTTACACGCTGAGGGCGTTAAAGCTCTTTTTGACTGAGGTGCATACAAGATTTTATGCACGATGAGCATGTTTTCATTTTGATATTTAAAAAATTATATATTTTCAATTTTGTAATGACATCAATCAAAAATATTTCAAAATATAAATTTTCATCTTTACCGCAATAGGTCCTAAGTTTTTGTCAAATTTAGATCAAGGAAGCAGTTGTTGACAAAAGTATCACGTAACTATTATAGCAACCCAGAACAATACAAACAAATAATTATGTGCTGTGTAGTGTATGTGTATGGTATTCTTATGATGGTAGTGCGTCTGAAAATGGAGCAAAATAGCATGCCCAAGTTTATTTTTGAGGCAGTTGAAGAGGCTAAGAAACATGTATACCTTCAAAGTCCAAAAGACTCTATGAAAAAACATATGAGGACTTTATTTCCTGATGTGCCCAACATAGTGTAAATGAGCAGCAGTACTTTGTAGAAGAAACTCTCCTGGCCTGGCATATACATTAATATGAAAAATGCAAAAAAAAAATAAGCCATCCACCCTATGGAGCTTTTACTCAATGTTGAAGGCAACAGTTCTTTTGTGTATTTCTGTGAAAAAGGGCCGGTTTTAAAAGTTAAAAACTGTAAAAATTGTATTTTCAATTTCAAAGTAGATTGAATTTTACCATTATTGCTTATATCATTATTCTTATTAATTGAAATAAAGCTTGTTTTGTTGAAAAAAGTTGGTATTTTTTGGACTAAGCAATAGAAATACAAAAAGTTTTTTAAAAAAATGACGAATTTTTGTTTATTTTTGAAACTTTCAGGCCCGCGGGCATAAAAGGCGCCCTAGGGCGTAAAAGTACTACTTCACGCTTTAAAATGCGGGCGTAAAAGTGCACTTTTACGCCCGTTCGTGCATAAATGTTATGTAAAGTTTGTTTCACCAGGGTTTGTACTTGCCACCAGCATTTGTCTTACTTGTTTAACAAATAAAAATTAACTGAAACAAATCATTGATGTCAAAAACGTTCGTCGGTTCTTAAACTAGACGTCATTCATCTTAATTTGTCAAAAAAATTGAATGAGTCAGATGAATTAATCTACGACAACCCTTTTTTTTCAAGTTTCAAGGTCAAGTATGAACCCTGGTGAAACGAACTTTATATATTGTAGTATAACATACCCAAGTTCGTTCAGTAAGATTGAAAGATGAAAATTTTTATCACCTTTTGAAGAACAAATCTGAAAAATGAAATGAAAAACAAATAGGACCTACGATGTGGAAACTTACTCAATTTTACTTACTGGACATGCGCCCGACATAGCAAATATTTGGGAAATTTGAGGGAAGTTGTGATATGTAAAAGAAACGAAAAATTTGTGAAACGTCTACTTTATTATTAAAGTAAATCGTACCGTTCTCGTCCTGGAACTAACGAGGGGAAAGAGAAACCCTCGATCTAACATTCCTCAAAAATCGAAACATACTGTTTCATTTCAATAAATAATTGTGAGTCAATTCAATAATTTAAGTCAATGATAGTTTGAATTAGGTAGGTACCGTCTTTTGTCTTTGTGCTAAAATTTTAATTAGACACACTACATTCAATCAACACTACCTATAATCAATACTGAAGAGTTTTTGGTTACTTAGCCCATCTGCGGCAGGTACTGAGGTCCCTAGCTACGTAAACTCACAGCTATAGTTGTTTTTGAGCCAATATCTCTTTCCTTTGTTTGGTAGGATATTCGCTCGTCAGGGTAGGACAATGTTAGTAAATTGAACAAGGCCCTAATGTACGCTCTAAATCCACAAAATCAAAATCTCAGCACAAAAAGACAGCACATAATTTCTTCTAGGTTTTAATTTACTCTTTAGCTGTGTTGTTTACAGCATGAAACGATTTTTGTTAAATATATGAACAATGCACATGCTATAAAAAATGTTATAAACAAACAAAAAAACATAAAAATGGAAAAAATGATACTTGTATAAATAATTGAACTCTCAAAAACAAAATAACATTTAATCAACTAACCTGTGAACGCTCCTTACACTAATAACAAATTGGATTGAACAATCAATTTTAATGCAAAATAAAAATGAAAATTGAATAATGAATAATCACAAACACGCGTCTAAGGGACCAGTCCCTCTTCTTCTCTAGTTGCGTATCCTCTGTCTCCCGTTCGCAGTACCGTTCCGTTCCTTGTGGTCGAACGTGGTCACCCTTAAATTTGATGGCGCAGACATGGTTGCAACATGTACTTTTTAGGCAATCTACTGACCTGTCAAACACGAAATTCAATATGGAAGTTCGGGTCAAGCATTGGTTCAAGCACTGAATTGATTCTGTCATATTCTCAGGCCCGGCGATCTCTCATTGCCAGTAATAAACCACATAATAAAGCTAAGTCCTCATAATCGCGAATTGCGAACTTTTTTTCTGCGGAATTGTTCCTATTGGTCCAAATTATTTGAAATTATAATGGCGGCAAAATCTCGCGAATGTTATTAACTCTTGCGGCATTGCAAAAAAATTGAAATAATAATAAACTTTTTGACGAATAATCTGGGAAGAAGTGAGATTATGCTAGTTTATTCGCCAAAAAGTTAAATTATTTTCAACTTTTTTGCGATGCCGCATGAACTTGAAAACATTCGCGAGATTTTCCCGCCATTTTAATTTCAAATAATTTGGACCAATACGAAAAATTCCGCAGAAAAAAAGTTCCCAATTGGCGATTATGAGGACTTAGCTTAACCCTTTTCGTTTTTCTAGATGTCGCTGACAACAACAGAATTGTAAAATACCAGCACATCAAGAACACGTCCGATGTCAATAACATTGACCTGTCATGGACATGTCAACATATGACAATATGCCAAAATATTCATTTGAGATAGGGAATTATTGAAATACGGCCGCAGTTGACTGTGCCGCTTTAGTGCCAACCCAAAATTGACAGTGGCGGGCGCTATTTTGGCTCACAAAAGGAATTATTGAACGACACATTGAAGTCGGCAGTGGTGAACTTTGGCAGTGGCATGTCATGTTTTATTTTCATATTCCTAACCTAAAATTGCAAAGTGTAAATACGTGTTTGGTGTTCTTCTCGTAGTTCTTCCTGTATAGTTGGGGAGCTGGCGTCAAAAACATGCAAGAGTTTTCGCAAGGCCGATATTTTCAAAATAGGTCGTACTTTAGTGTTAGAATGCTAGTGTACAGTCAGCACTCACAGTTCCGGGACAGCTGGCTCTGGGACGCGGGCAAAGTTGTAATTTTAAGAAGCATCTAAACTGTTTTCTCAAAGCTCAAAATTTATAGAAATTTTGCAGATTATCTGTTTGAAGGTCACAGATAACGTATGTAAATCGTCAGACGTCTAGTTCGTTGCAAAAAGGGGGTCAGACGTCCTCAAAGTTTTTATTTTATGGCATTTTCTTCAAATATATTTGTCAAATACCCGCAAAAATATATTTTGACAGGACACCGAAGAAAATGCCATAAAATAGAAACTTTGAGGCCGTCTGACCCCCTTTTTGCAACGAACTAGACGTCTGACGATTTACATACGTTATCTGTGACCTTCAAACAGATAATGTGCAAAATTTCTATAAATTTTGAGCTTTGAGAAAACAGTTTAGATGCTTCTTGAAATTACAACTTTGCCCGCGTCCCAGAGCCAGCTGTCCCGGAACACCAAACACCGCTAAGAAGCCACTAACCTGTCACTGGAAATTGAATAAATAGGTTTGGTCGGACTTCGTTTAAAATCAGTTCTGAATTGAACTGTGCTTGGGCATTTATTCATATCGAACATACCTATGTAAACAAATGCGCAAACGCAGTTCAATTTAGAACTTGGATTCTGAACTAAATCTGAACAAACCAATAAATGTAAATTAATAAAAAAGTGAGGTCAACATTTGGATAAGCCTTGACGGACGTCAACTTAAAAAAAAAGAAGAGACCAATGAGGCAACATGTGTATGGCCGACCAAATGTTAATTTTTCAATATTCGCCTTACTCAATCGTTTGGT